CAGAAGAGATAGCCAATTATTCAACAACGCTAAGTCAGTTAAAGTAACGTGCAGAGTGCCGGAAGTTTAGACAGGTAATCTTTTCTATCTGATTTCATAATTGCAAGTTCACGAATTTAGTTTTCGGTGTATCGGCACCGAAGACACACACATTAGGAAAATGCGTGAAAATCTAACACAAATAACTGTGGAACTTTTATTGGGAGATATGTAAAAATAGAATGCCGATAAATGATTATAACAATCCGGTTATGAATAAAGCCCGGCCATTCCAGGTTCATATATTATTTTCCGGTACCTATAACTATTCCCGAGGGTTACTCTTGCAATCGTCCGCAAGTGGCTATTTGCTGTGAGGTTAATCACTAGTATGTGGGAAAACCGTATTTGGAAGCAATGTATTAGACGAGTGAAATTTCCATCTTCAAAGTTTTGACATTCCATAAATGACGAAAAGCACTAAGCTAGTGCTATGTATGCATTCGTCTATCAATTCCCGTTGCTAGCCCAATCACGTGACACAGTTTTTCATGACAAACACTGACATCCAATCCGTTTTGTCCGTGAGCCAGCTTACCCTAGTTTTAGGCCATCGCTTAATCGATTGATGTATTCTCACGATCGTCCATTAAATCGTTAACCAGGATTCGATCGGCACGCTCTTTGTGTATTCCGATTTATTGTGTTGGGTCACAGGCTCCTAAAAATATTGTGCATAGCGTGGGGTGGGGGGAGGGAGGCGTTAAATTCGGTCTGAACAACGTTGGCGCCGCGAACCAAATCCTATCGTGCTGCATTTATCTTCACCATTGTGGGGCTCAGCCACAGGAAAACCATCACCTGTTCTGCAAACACATACCAGAGACCCGATCTTCCCGCAGTCTTGAAACTTTTTTTCACTTGTGTCGACATTTGTCCGCTGATACATGTTTACTTCCGCAGCGGTAACATACTAAATCCTTGACTGAACGTTTTGTTGGTGACGTGATCTTCCGCGTCACTGCTAGCTCACTGTCAGGGTCTGAATTTTTGGAAAACTGAGTTTATTGATGGGTGATATTCTCTTGACGTCGGACCATTGCACATGCCCTTTCCCTGGTGAGTTTAGATTCTTCATCTGATATTAATTTCACCACCTCGAAATCAATCGTGGAAACAATACTATCTAAACACGCTGGTGTATTGGTATTTGTATTTGTATTTGTATAGACTTTTGCGAGAACAGAATGTTCGCATTTCAGTCAAAAATTTACACATCTCATCAGTAGAAGGAAAGATACAAGTAAAATATTTAACCTTTAAGGTTACTGAGAAATTCTGAGGAAGCGCGCTCTCGGTTTACAAGGATTCTGGCAAGATAGGGAACTGGAAAATTTCTGTAGAGACTAATGCGAGAGAGTAATAATCGATAAGAAGAACGTGTAGACGTATGAGAGTAGCATTTAGATAAATCGCCATGTAAAGGATGGTTGGGGTCAGCGAGGATTTTCTGGGCAAATGTTTCACATGCGGACAAGTGAAGTTCACACAGTTTTTTAGATAGCTCATCAACGGGTATAAAAGGCACACGACTGATGATCGACAAACCGCGACGATGAATTTTGAAGTCTTTCTTTAGTAGACCAGCAAAAACCACCGGGGAACAATAAAGAAGAACGAAAAAAACACATTGATAAACAAAAAGTGAAATGATTTTTTGCTTGGCATTGAACTGCCTAAGTTCTTCGAAGTTGAAAAGATAATTTGCGAAGTTTCTGTACAGAGTTGCAAATACGGGATGTCCACTTTAAGTTAGTGTCGATTGTAACTCCCAAATACTTCACAGAATCAACTCTAGTTAGGGTATCCGTATTCATGACAGACGAGTCACAAGGATAAACAGATCGAGAGAGGGAGAAAGTGTATTCGAAGCACTTGGATAAATTAAGAGACAGTCCAGAACGAACGAAAAATTCATGAATACGCGATAGATTGTTCGGGAAATGAAGAAGGTCCTCAAGCAGCTTAGGAAAAATGAAAGAACTCCAAGTATGTGTATCAAAGTGGATCACAATGCACAACCACGTTTCATCAGATCGTGCTCCTTGTCATGCGCACTCAAAGCGAAGAAGAAGGACTGAAGAGATTACAGAAGGAAGGAGTATTTATACCAATCCAGTACTGCGAATTAGGATCACCGATATTTCCCGTGAACAAACCAAATCGTTCTGTTCCAGTTTGCGGCGATTATAAGCTTACTGTGAACCGTTTCGCCGTCCTGGATAAATATAAACTACTACGTGTGGAATTCGTTTCTATCGGTTAGAATTCATAACATCGGGCATCAGTGTGCGGTATTGCATTTTTTTCCACAAGTACATCAAAACTGCGAACCGATATTTACCTTTATGTACAATAGTGCCCTCATGTCTACTAAAATGGAGGCTTCCAGTAGTTTTGTCCGAGAGGAGAGCTAAACCTATTTTTCATCCGTATTCAACAATTGAATCAATGAAGTATCCCTCGAAATAGAGTTGTATTCAATCATTCCAAACTAATGGTGCAAAGGACGTCTGATAAAAGAGCCGAACTGGAAATAAGAAAATGGAACAAGTGACGTTTGTAAACCATAATTGAATTTGGCATCAATTACGGTGAGTATAAAATCCTGTTCATTGTATACATGAAAAGGATAACAATATGGCATGGTAATAGCAAAATCAACCTAAATGAGTTGAATAATTTAAATTGAATTCAAGTTTTAATGGGGGACTGATGGGGAGAACAAAAAGGGAAACCCTTTACTTAACAGACAGTGTAACATGATATGATCTACCTCTAAATAAGCTGAGTTTCTTTTAGATTATCTGTAACATTTAATAATCTTGGACGGTCACCATAATACAACGANTACAACGACCACGAACCGACACTAACCTTTCCTTTAGCCGTTCTGTAGTGCTCGGAATACTCACCGATCATTGGTCGCTACCACACTCAAAATCAGCTACCACAGTTTACTGATATCAAGAGACAGAAAGAAGACTGCGAATGTAGCGGTTCGTTCATTGAAAGAACTGAAACGGATTCAGCAATATTTACGGTTTTAATTTGCGTCATGCCAGTTACAGTATTCCTGAATGAACCACAGAGTATTCGAATAATCCTAAATGTTGGCTCCTTATTGTTACTAAACTAAAGCGTAACTCCGTTGATGACGTTATGTCAAAGCTACTACATGATCATCACAAGAAATATGGGTAACTGAGCAACTTTGAACACGGTACTGCCGCAATCCAGACCTCATGCAGCAGAACGGCATAATCAGCCTTAGGAGGATTCGCGTTTGCAGTGGCTTGGTGGTTTAATGACCATATTTAACGTTAAATGGGAAATATCAACAACCGAGTTCGTGGTAGGCAGCACAGAGAAACAATGTGTTATGAAATGAGTCGGCATGATTGTAGCTCGGGGTGCGAATGTTGGTGTTGGTGAGCTCTTCGAACTGAAAGTGTTGTTTGCAGACGTTTCGTAGCCAAGCTAGCAACATTATCAATGCGAATAACCACATTTGTTTGCTACCATCACTGCTTGGAATAATCCTTCCACTCGCTTCATCTCGACTTTGATGAGTTTGAAAGCTGAAGCAATATGAGACTTGTAAACGTGTTCCATGTGTTGTTTCATCCATAAAAACCGCAACAGGGAACAGGTTAACCTACTCCTGAATGTATGCCACCGGAAAAAAATAAATATAAATCGTACACACTTTTACCGTAAGCAAAGGAGCCCACGCGAACATTGAAGCAAGCAATCAAGGAAGCCGTTTTGAGCTGATTATTACGAAGAAGAATACCAGTGGGAAGAAGCCGAAAAAGAAAACTCTGGATAACAACTGACTAAGTAGTGAGGAATGTTCTTTTTTCTAAATGTCAGACTGTAACTTCAACCGCTTTTCACTGGAGGACACTAGTATGAATGTACCTGAAATAAAATATACAGGAGTACATTTATGCACCTCGAATATGCAGCTTCAATTCAGTGGGAGCATTCACACAGCCATTACTCATTACTCAATATTTTGTTTGAGAAATGTCACCGACAAAATGTGAAACAATATAGTGAGTTCAACAATCAGTTGCATGCGGGCATACGAAAAATTAGATCGACCATATTTTCTCTCTGTGTGTGGAGTATTTCAAATTGTGTATGCATGCCCTAGCTCAGGCTATCCGTTCGTCACACTAAATTAATAATGACGATCGAGATGCGAACAAATTGTTTCTTTTTCCAGATATTCTGGTGCAACAAGGCTTGAATGGATTGGTTGAGTCTACTGTCAACCGGAACGCAACATGTCGAGGTCAGCAGGTTTGCTTGAATCCCTGAGATTTGTTCATGTCAGGTAGCTAGTATCCAGATCCACTCGTCAACATATGCGCTCGACCGAAACGAACTCGGTTGAAAACAGCAAAGCGGATTATAAATAAAGTGAAATATTATTGAATGAATCACATCACAATTCAGTCAAGGACATCAAAATCATCATTCAACAAGGGACCTATAGAAGAGAACGGCAGAACAGGTGATATAGTAGGCATCAGGGCAGTCTAGAAGTGGTTCCTAAGCCACCGGGTGAAAAAAGTTCAAAGCAAATTGGGCAAGGGATCAGAATGCAACAGCCGATCTTGTAGCATAACTGTTAATCCGTAGACACAGCGGTTGATACTTTCTACTTGTTGATTGATTAAATCGAAGTTGTTGACAGAGTGAATGCACATGTAGCTGATGACAGTTGGAATCCTTTCTCGCTGCGGTCGGTGCACACCCTGTTTCAGGCCGGGAATCAATCATTCACAACCGATCTTCATACTTGGTGAAGATTGGTTCATACCAAGATGAACCACGGTTGTGCTACTTGATTGGACAGTTTTATTTCGTCGAAACTATTTATTCACCCTTGATAACTGAGAAATTGAAATTTGCAAATTTTGTGGTCTACCATCCACTCACTCATTGTAATGAGCTCTATCACTGATGAACAGCGCAAAATGTTGATTGAGGAAGCCATTCGAGTGAAATCAAACGCCTATTGTCCAGCAAGTCAATTTCCTGTTGGATGTGCAGTTTTGTCACGCGATGGAAGTATATTTGTTGGATGTAATGTGGAAAATGCCTCATTTCCTTGTGGCAGCTGTGCGGAGGTTGGTGCGGTGACAAGTGCTGTAACTCATGGACATAAAGATCTCATAGCTGCGGCTGTAGCCACTAATATAAATGAGCTTGTGAGCCCCTGCGGTCGATGCCGTCAGATTCTTGCCGAATTCATGGGACCAGATTCACCAGTCTTCATGGTGAACAAACAACTTCATGTGAAGGAAACAACGATGGGAAACTTGTTGCCTTATTCATTCGAGATGAGGATGTTACCGACGCAAAAATAAATGGTTATCTTCATTTTTACTATTTCCCGGTTCCAACATTCCCGAGTTAACACCTTGTCTTTCGTACATAAAGGAAAAATGGCAAATTTTGCTTGGCTCAATCAATATCTAACAAAAAGCCCTTGGCGGGTCGCAATTTTAATTTTTACAATTATCTTTTATCCAGTAACTTTATTTGATTTCTTTTACTGTATAACGTCACAATTCATCAGTAGTAAATATACATTTATAATTGATGATGTGTCGTTATCTGGAAAGTTTTACATATTGCTACTTCCGTTCCTTGTTGGAATAACGGTTTTCAGAATTGATTAGCAACGAGAAGGAATAATATTCATGTTAGCTGAAAAACGCAGAATAATCACACTTCGATTGGGATACCACAATACCGATAGCTTAGTTCTAAAGAACAGTCATGTTCGGTATGAGAACAGTTTGTCCCGGGTCAAATATGTATTTTTCCCACTGAGACCCCCTAGGAGCGAACATTATTACCGATCGATTACAACTATCGAGCTGCATAACTGAACACCCACAGAGTACGTCACTTGATAATGTACGAGTGGTAGATTGTGAGGCCTCTTGTTGTGAGAGCTATTTTGCACGTGGGTTGTAATTCTTGAAAGTTTTAAACCGTCCAAATGTTCCTCAAAATTAACTGACAAACTATGCCGGTGGGCAATCAGGAATTGTGCGATTGTTATTAACATTCTCACTTGTTTGTTATCACTAATAATATTCAGAGTACTAACTCATGTCAATCGTTTCTCACGTTTTACAATTGTATGAGAAGGACGTTAACAAGAGCTATTTGATAGAAGCCAAGTCAGAACGATACTTTAGAAAAGTTTCATATTATTTGAAGTTGCATACTGTTGCTATTGTTCAACTTCAGTTCAAGTTGTTTATCATTTGCATTGGTGAGTTTTTCAATTTTGCATCAATTTTTCGCATGTTACTTCACAATAAACTACAGATTAAGCTAAACATATGTACACAGTGAAAGTATGAATGCACTGTTTAAACGTCCGCTATACAATGAATATGAATGTAACTGAAAAGTATGATTAATGTTCGAATAGTAGCTTAGTACTTGGTTAATAGCGATTGTATCACAATTTGGCTTTTTGATATAAAAAATCTATTATTCTTTTGCAACAGTTACCTTCGCCGTCGTCTGGATCAGATTTCAACTTGTTGTAGTGAGGATCCTATGTAATTTACTCCCTTATGTACCAGAACTCAGGAAACCCACTTCCATAACTCAACACAATGTGCTCGTGAGTGTGGACTTTGGCCTTAGACAATGCAGGCTAATACAAGATGAATGTGTAGTAAGAAGCAATGTGTCCGTAAATTTTAGGGATTACTTAATTCTGTCTCTACTGTGTTGGGATTCTTACTTTCAGGTAAACAAAAATGTTCAATTGGAACAGTTCGGAGGGTTTACTCCGTTCATTAAATGCGTATACCTCAGGTAAAGCAACATGCCACTAAATAATCAACTGGTTTCCAGTTAATGTATATCTGTGTTTTCTTTCTGAGATGATTCTCTAATTGCACACATCTACTGACATCCATGAACTCCATGATGGTTCAAATGCCTAGACAGTGATAGAATAATCTGCATGAGAAGTATTGCATCGTGGAACGCATCAACATATGGTAAAACCTGACAGCACTGACCAATGACTGCCAAATCAAGTTGCGCCGAGTTGGAACGGACTCCTGGGGGTTCAGTGACTTTGTGCCACACATTGAGAACTTCTCAGTTTGGGGTTCGAATGCCGGAGAGGATCGGTGGATAATTATTACTGTTAACGATGATTACCGCCAAGGAGTAAATGGTTCCGGGGCATTTCGAGGGATATCAGTTGATGGGGACATAATGACTTAGCTGTTATGATTAATAATTTTAACTACAATTTTGTTGTCTGGTTAGGTATATGCACTTCGTGTTTTGTAATGTAACCTACCAAAGAAAGCGGACGCATGGAATCAGTATCCAAAAACGGTGGGTTATTAAATTGCAGAATATGTCCATTTTAACATGAGAACACGAATTTAGAGGCGAAATTCGTGTTCTCATGGTAGGTTATTATCAATTTCAAGTGAATGGATTTTCACCTGTAAATGAAACTAAGTACAGTACAAACAGGATTAAAAATCCTTAGAGAACCGATCGGAAAATTAATAAATATTTTTGCATACGTGTAAACAGACAGTATTAAATTAATTGAACAACATGTGATTTTAAATGCGAGTTAGAACTGTTGTCTGTCACCTATGGAGAAAAAACAGCTAGAAATCTAGACAAAGATGTTTCACTGTGATGCCAGTTTTCCTTCCTTATGTGATAAATTTCTTTTTATACGGATCAAAAAGAATGTGTGCAGAAACTCTGAGAAGTGTCGTACAGCTGTTCCCAAGACTTTGTGTTCGATACGCAATGCGAATTCATAACATATAATCTAATGAAATCCTATCATACTAGCGTATTTTCATACTTTATCAAAATATGTACATTTTCCCACCTAGAGTACTCTATTCTGAACCAATGAAATCTCTAACACGTTCCGTTCAATAAGAAATCCGTCAACAATTTGAAGGAACGGTTTAAGCACCAGTCCTCTCATGGGACGAGTTTCCATGAAATCCACCCACAGATATATTATTCAAAGGAAAACAACATAAACGACCAAGGTGAGCAAAACTTTTATCCCTTCAGCAATCCTGCATCCAAAATAGCAGTGAACCAGCCGAATTATCTAACCATATCCTCAACGTACTCCATACCTCTGAGTTTTAATCAGTGTAGCTTGATCGAACCACCATCTGGAATTTACACCGATTTATAACAACTGCAGAATCCTTTTTGTTCTAGAGATATCTAAGAATCATACACGATTCCGACTGTAGCAACTTTGAGCAAAAGACAGTTTACTGGGATCGGTGTGATTAACGGTAATTTGAAATTTATTCTGGATGATAGACAGATCAGTAGAAGTTTAAACATCATAAACCATCAACAATTAGTGGAGCCGGTGTAATATCGAGGGTTTTTACAGAGAGCAGCTATATTGGTCATGTATATTAGAAGAGCAGATAACAAATGTTAATGCTGACAAGGTTATATCACTAAAAGGGTGATGCTACGATAAACAGTTTCTTGATCTGACCGTCAGTTGAACAAAATGGGATTTAATTTGCATGATTGCGTGCCTAGTGCAAGGATTGGGCGAGAACAAGACCGTTGTTTGCGCCTACTCACAAGTCGATCAATGACGGGCAAAGGAAAAAGGAAGAAGCGAATGCACGGACCAGTCAGTCAAGCGGCTGGGGGTGACGGACATAAAGATCATAGTGCAACATCCTGAGCTTGGTCAACAGACCAATCAATGCAAGTACAGTCGGAGTCAGAGGGTATATGTAGCTCAGGGAGTTAGTTAAGAAGCGTTTGTGTGCGTCTACGGGCGGTCGGGTGGGGGGACAGACGAACGGGGGAGTACACCTGCAAAAGCGATGCGTTATGAATGTTAAACGAAATGATCACCATTAATTATCATGAGAAACCTATTTCTAACTTGCTCTGCTCTGTAGTAGATATCAAGAGGATTGCTCGCTTTAACACAGTCCTAGAAGCGTCATGATTAGTGTATCTGATCTTGTGTTCCGCTATAGGCTTTTCCCGCAAACAAGCGAAAGTTGTTGTCGAACAAGTTCCATACTTGAAACGTATGGTAATGCTTGGTTAGATGCTTAGCATGTCGTTGCATTTACATAAGCATAAATGGATTAATCCTAAAAGACCTATCCGAAAAAGGATGAACTCGCCATCGAAAACTGGAAATTTCTGAATAACAAGCATGTGGAGTAAAAGTGTTAGTAAATTTGTAAAACATTGTCCGATACGAATATCCGAGTAGCGGCAAAAACTGCGAAAGCTCCTGCTTTATCAGCAAAAGGAGGTATACATCAGTCTGGCATTGCCCTGGTAACCACGTAAGCGGAAGAGTGAATTGAAACCATGTTAGATTATCAACACCTGTGATATATAAACTGATTTGTATTCTGCAGTAAGCACCAATTGAGATGCAGCAAAATAATTCCGGAATTAAATCGTGTTCGTTTACAGTGTTGTGTTCTTTCTTCAAATTCATAGTTATGATTAGAATCCCGGTAATNTAATCAAATGCAGTGGCGTTGATGTAGTTTGCTGCTTAGACTACAATTGCCGAAGAATGTACAATAGTGACGTTCATAGTTAAAGACGACAAATTATCGACCGACGTTAATTTTCTAAAGATAGAAAAATACTTACATTTTACAATACTCAACAATGTATCCGATAATTACTGCTCTTGGATTACTGTCCGACTATAACAATAAGTAAAACTTATCGCAAAGTCCGACTCACCTTTTGTGAAACTGGCCATTTTAGGTGTCGCGTAAGCATTTAGAATAGTCTGTAACTCCCGCTGACGGAGAACTAGGCAAGAACAGCGCATAGATTGCATCAACGAGCGGTAAATTATTCATACCGGAAACTGTTTCGCAGACGTGAACCAACAGTGGGCTGTATACGATTAAAGCATCAGAAACATCAAAAACCAAATATTCCCAGAGAACCATTTTGTTGCATACTGAGACTGATTAGTCTGGCAATGGGCCAAACATATCCTGATTATATGCAAAAGTTGCTTGTCCCCGTAGATTGGAACACATTTCTCAAGGACCCGATGTGACAGTAAATGGGAAAGTGATAAAATAAATCGGGGTTTTTGATATGTTTGTATTCTTTTACATAGCTTTAGTGAACACTCTGCATTGCAAACAACCATTTATAAATGATTCTACTCAATCATCACAACTGTAACCCAACCACGGAATGTTCTCACTTGAGGAAAGCATAGGAATTGTGAGGGATTTAAAATGCAGACGGGAGAAACATGGCCAGATTACTATTTCAACAAGCAGTGAATCAAGCAAATGATAGTTGG